GTGGCAAAAGCCGACGTGTTAAACAAACAATAGATTTGATTTGATGCTTTCGTTACTGCAGGAATTAATACGGTAAAGTCACGTAACTTTACCAATAGAACCAAAGAGTATAAACAATAGACTGCAGGCTATGGTGTAATGGTACGTGCCACTGGACTTGCGATCTAGAATTCAGGCTTGAGATGACGAAATTTACCTGACGCGGTGTTGGCCGCACCACCCCCTAGTTGTGCCATGCCAGTCTTAGAAGGGTTATCACTAGCAGCACTTAATGATGTTGTGATTTTTTTTCTTTTAGTTTTGTATGTGGCGTTGTCGTTCTTGCTCATCGCATCTGAAAATCGCCAAGGAACCACAGCCCGAGCTGTAGACAGCCAGGCGGTGAGCCGGTGCTGCCAAAAATTGCCTAAGCTCTGATATCCTTTACATATTACGATGGTAAATGAACGTTTATACGTGGGAGGAAACTGGAGCACCTGGAGGAAATCCACGCGTACGAGGGGGCAACACTCGATCCCATCCAGACTGAACAGGTGGAGTCCACATTTGTGTCGTACCACCTTCTCCTGGTAAGCCAGGATGTGGCAATAACCTCGACGACCACGGGAAGGGAGGTTCGCAACGTTTGCGTGATCCACCACCCCTCGCCTCCACAGTGCTGGATAACAGGCGTGCATAGCGAGCACCGCCCAGCTCACACAAACCATCGCTGGTAATTGTTTTGTGTTCTCTGATGTCAAACAGTCAAATACCGCATTCATTGTTTTCCAGAACTCTGTGTCTTTTTGTGCATTTTCATCTTTTTTTTTTCATAAATAAAATTGTATTGGCTGCTATTAATTTCCACATGATGATGAGCCACTTTGTTGAGCTATTAGTTCTGGCCAGGTTTGCTTCTGAAAAAGAGCCACATTGTTTGCCTGGTAACAAAACAAAAATTGTGTTTAGTTTTTTTAATATATATAGTCGATCCCACTTTGCCTCCACAGTGCTGTATTTAGAGGCGTGCACCACCACTTCTCCCCTATGAAAACAACCCTGGTGACGTTTAACTATATATATAAAACCTCAGTCAATCATCACATTAAGTAATCCATAACAGATTTTTTTTTATTATATCGCGTAAATATAAAGGTAGCGTTAAACCCGCCATCACTCGACCACAGCCAGTTTATAAGGTTTGACTTGCTCTCCAACACACCGGTGTGCCGTACTAGTCACGAATTGGCCACGTTCTGTTTACGTGACAAACCTTACTAGTTGGCTGTGTCGGGTGGTGGCGGGTTTAACGACGCAATGATATATTTACGCGATCTAACCCAACAAACCTGTGTTATGGATGATGTTGGTGCAGAAAGCCCACCACGTGTTGAACGAACACCAAGTAAGACTGGCATTTCTACAACTTCTCCCATCATATCTAATTGTGACGTTCGCATCCATAACAAAAGCATGAATCTGCTCTTCCGACCTGTCATGGAATGGCCGTATTTCTATATGGGCAAAGCAGTCACCGAATGAGGTTGTTTTTTTTATTTTGCGTGCCAAAGCCTCTTTACCTCTGAAAAATGATGACCACTCTATGCAGCCACTCTTTGCAGCCACTCTATGCAGCACGCATTGTGTGTAAGTTGTATCCCTGGGGTGGTGCACCCAGTTCCTATCGCAGGGTGATCGATGATCCAGAACTCGCCGATTGACTCCCTCCGCCCGCTCGCTCGCTCGCTCGCAGGTGGTCAGTCGCCTTCCTCGTGACTCTTCTATCGCTACTACCAAAGTCACGCATTGTTTCCTCCACTCGCACCTCCGATTGGCACGGTTGGCTTCGTATGGTGTGAAAGAAGTTCAACATGCATAGTACAAAACCAAAGCGCCTCCGATTACCACAGTTGGCTACGTACGGTGTGAAAGAAGTTCAATGTACATACGAAAATCACGGTGCCTCCGATTAGCATGGTTGGCTATGTACGGCGTGAAAGAAGTTCAGCATACATAAGTACAGGACTCAGGCTAACCAGACTGCATCTGCCTTCGCACCGCTCGACTTTATTGCATCCCATCGTCGCTTTTCCCAAGTCACGATGACCCTCGCTCAATTCAGGCAACGACTTAACTCATATCTCTTACGCCTGCAATAGTAGTGCTGGTTGTTGCTGGGCATTTGACGTTTTTGGGCCTTTGGGTCCTGTGCTCAGAACCTGTAAATGAAAATACAATTTGGATGTATATGCAATGACAGTAAAGGGGAGGATATCTGTATTTCGGTATGCACGTGTAAGCTTCAACTCTGACAGATGTGAGCAAACATTGACAAACGCAAGCCAACATACTGGGTAAATGTATGCATCTACAGGTACACATATTGTCTGCCTATAGAAGTACCCGTTGTATGTAAACGCGGAAACACGCGCTAACACGCGCTAACATGCACACATATAGACACAAAGACAAAGTCCCCCCCCCCCCCCCCATGTAGCCTTTCACAGACATATAGGCACACACATGGACGCCCACACATTGATCACATTATTTAAGTTGCTCTGGCAAGATATACCATATACAAATCGCGTGATTATTGCCAGGCGTTACCCTTGCTAAAAAGTAGACTGCAGTATGGAAACTTTGACCAACTTTTCAGACAATTGCCGTTCGGTTGATTTCTTACGTACAAGCCATAAACAATGCCATGCAATAGACTAACACAAACGCCCAGTTTTGACTGATAATAGTGTTTGGATCACTGCAATTACGATGTGTGCTATGAACCTCCGGCAAACCGAGTTCGATGGCCAGTGACGGAGATGCACGGGTTGTCATTTACAGAGACTGGCACCAACCGTTCTAATGTCAGTGCCGATGTCACATACCACACCTAGTACTCATTTGAGGCCGAATCAACTTAGGGGAGGCCCAGGACCTGGTTCAGCTATTCGCCGCTGATGTCGCACACGAGTGGGACTTGAACTCTGGTTGCCGGGACCGGTAGCGCTGACCCCTGACCTCTGTGCTTCCCCTCTCCGATTGGCAATAGATAAAGATCCCCCGTGTAGCCTTTAACAGACTCTTGGGGCAAGTGCTGTAGGCGATCACCTATGAAGGCCGGCAACAGCACACGAGGGGGTGGGTGGCCAGCACCACGCCCGAGTGGTGATGTTTACAATCCGCTCCAGGTACTCATTTGAGGCTGAGCCGACCTAAGGGAAACCCGTGACCAGGGAATCAAACCCGGGTTTCCGGGGCTCGTAGGCCAGATACACGGACGCACACATTGATATATTCGGAGCCACGCAATAATCTGTCTCCCCATTGTCAAATTTTCCATCGGTGGCGTCCTGTGAAAGCAGACTTGGCAGCCTGAGGCAGACAGACCCCTCTCCAGCTGAAATGCTGATCCTAGTACTAAAAAAAGTGTTGCAGCCAGATGTGGCTAGTGAATCAATTTCACATCCTTTTATTTTACGTCGTCTGTTCGTCAGCAGAGCGTGTAATGTACCGCCCAATGTAGGTGTGATTGACGTGCCTCTAATCCACTCAGTTAGACACTGACCTGCAGTGGAAAAAAAATGTCTTGTAGGAGTCATTACAAACCCGGCTTCATTACGTTTCTTTGCGAAGTTTGTGCGCGTTTCCCCGCATGTGTGTGTGTTTTCTCCCGGTACAGTTCTGGGTTTCTCCCACACGCGTTTCATCCAAACAGGAAATGGCCAAACATCCGGAGAAAGAGTTTGAGACTGAGTGATGTTTCCTGGGTAAACAAACATTATTTCTCACCACTGCTGCCAAACGCACATTGAAAGACGTATGCAGTAATGTATGCAGAACCCCAGGCATCCTCCCAGCGGCTTTTGAATGACCATCGAATAAAAACGATCCCCACATCGCGCGCTTTCAGATGCGCTTCTGTGGCCATCTCTGACGCATTTCCTTCCGAGATTCGGAAGCCACTGGAGCTATGCACTTTTAAATCATCTAGATTGAAAACGAATTTCTGTAGAACTTGATTTTTGTATTTAGTTTGTTGAGCACGGTCAGCTACGTATGGTGCGAAGAAAGTTCAACATACATACGCACAATGCCATGTTATGTACCACGTAACCCCGTGGTCTCACTGTCCGATGAGTTTATTCGACACGTGGTGGGTCGACTCAGCACATTGTTCCTAAAGGGTCGATAAAATGTGGATCACTTTGTGTGAAGTCCATGTTGGTTGTTCTATGGACAGACTGGATGCCCAACATAGCCATAGAGAATTTCTAGATTTTTTTAAAGGGTCACTAGCCGACAGGCGCACAACTACACACTCAACTGAACAGGAAGACACATTGACTTCATTATCAATAGCAATTGATAAGATAATGCAAATCCATCGCCTCTTCATTATTCACGCAAAACAACTGCGACACAAACTTATGGAACAAATGTATTTTATTTAATGTGTGTCCGGGTTTGTAACTAACGCGCGTTGTCCGTCGCAATGTCCAACGTTTTGCTGCCAGGAGCTAAAATTGTTCCTGTTAGAATTCAGCTTCTGAAGAAGCTCCTGGGAACGCGGAGCGAAACGTCGGACATCTCGGCGAACAAACATGCGGTGTAAAAAAAAAAACATCGGGGGGGGGGGGGGGAACCTACCACGCAGGAGTTTAACAGCTTTCATTTATATTCTTTGCCAATCTTTAAAAGCCTAATTATTTTCCGAAACAGCACCGCAGTGCAGTGTGTGCTCATTTAATGAGTGCAATCGGTGCATTACAATGCAAGTGAATATGAAACGCTCCAGAACACATTCCCACAAGCCATTAACCAATAGGGGCTACTTCACAACACGGCAGCTGTGTAATTCAAAGCAGCTTAAAAAAATAAATAAGTTAAATGGCATACTTTTGAGGCCGAGACAGTCCTATGCATGTCTTTCCAAGACGTCATGTGCGTGGTATGTGGAGTTCAACCTCTCTTTACCCCAGTTCTGCAAACGACAACACTGCCACAACCCCTCCAGCGCACGGAGTCCACACCACCCACTCACATCACCACCGCTCTCCTCTCACTCTGCACTCATCCACTCGCACTCTGCGTGGATCCACTTGCACTCTGCACGTAAACACTCTGACTCTATCCCTTCTGCTGTCACATAGACCCACACACAGATGTGACTGTGTTCACACTCGCCATTACGCACTCCTGATATCGTCAATATTGCTGTTTGCTGGTCGTCGGTGTCAAGCTGAAGACATGAGGTAAGTGGTCAAACAAAGATCGTTGTGTTCATTGAAGAAACTGGTCCACTTCCATAGGAATGTGGAATTTCTAACAGGTCTAGGTTGGCCAGTGGAGGTGACGGCCACCACAATGCTTGTTTTAAAAAAATTGACTTTAGAGATGCATGACAACACTGCGCCATCATTAAAATCACATTAGAGACACATTGATAACACATGTCCGATGTATGTTAATAATGATAATTTACAGTTTTTTTGTTAATCTGCTTTGTAAATCCACTGCTGGATGATGGCTTCCCAATGCTTTGTGAGTAGCGGTGAGTTGTTTGCCATACTTCGGTGAACGCGGGGAGGCATGGGCAGGATTTGTGCCATGTACTATCACCCATCTGGGGTCAATAAAACACGTAACATTTTGTGTGGAGTTAACAGTTGTTGACCCATGGAGAGACTGGCACCAACCATAGCAATGTGGAATTTACATTAACTGACTGGGGACCACCAACAGACATGAGTGCAGCACATTTCGGACTTCGAGACAGAGTTTTGCTTCGGCAGATGACTTTTGTGTGGAAGAAATCAAACAACCGCCAATGGGAAATATTTGAAGCAGTAAATGTGATCAGTTGATAGCTTTCATGAATGTGTCACATACGTTGCAAAGATGTATAATTTCGAATACAAATTCAGCGACTGCATTGGCAGCGGCGTTAAAGCGCCGGGTGAAAATACTTAACGTCTGTTATACATAACAACGTAGATTGCAATGTATTAGCACGCAGTTATTCCTTTATTAACATGCGGACCTTGTAACTACGCATGCGTTCGCGTCTGTTAATGTATAAATGTTCCTTTGTCAATTGAAAACGTTTCATGTTTGAATATCATTTAATTGCACGACCACTTGGTCAACGTTGAGCATCTCATGGGTAGCAAAAACAAAGCTGATCCACAGAGGCTGTTGTGAGGAAGGGCGATGCTCAAGCCGTGTTCATCTTACACGGGAGGTGATCGATGGCTGACGAGAGCACGATGACCCCATTGCAACATCACCCATAATTGGAATATTTATTCATACTGGATGGAATCCGATGTGCTATACAGCTCTTTTGCGCATATATCCTGTAGGGGTTAGTCAAAACGTTACAGCAACAAACAATACAAAAAACAGGATAGCAATGCAAAGTACAGGAAAGGTAAGCAAACCACTTTAAAAACAATATACAAATAAAATTTAACTGTTTTCTAATCTCACCAGGTAAAGCTTTTCAGATGGGATCTGACCACAAATGGTGACTCAACGAGGTGGCTCATCACGTGGAAATGTCATAGCGGTTAAATCATCTAAAGAACAATAATCTAAAACACCAGGCGCCGCCTGCCCTGCCCGGACCTCGATAACATTCTCAACCCAACTAATACAAAAAATCAACCGCCGTGTCTGAGTCTCTGACCTGAGTGCCAAGCACCGCGAAGATGTGCGGGGCAGCCGTCAAGCGACGACGCAGCGGGAGAGCTGCCGGCCTGGTCGCCAAAACCCGCCAAGCGCTCCTGTAAAGTGTGGCCATCGAGCCGGTCGGCATCGACCCTTTTCCATCGTCCGCTCACCCTCGGCACCGGACCTCTCGGCGAGTCCGGGGGGCTGACTGGAGAGATGCCGTGATTGTCTCTCTTTGCCCTGCGGGGGGGGGGGGGGGGGGTGAAAAGGTTCACCAGCCGACTGGAGTAGCTACCATAATATACCCTTCCATCTGTCCCGGGAAATAAAAGTGTTTGCCAACGCGCTACTGGCTCGTTTGTCCTGACTTTAGCACCAGAACCAGCGCCCCCACCAATCGGGCTTCAACGCGGATCTTGTTCTTGCACTCCGCCTGCTTTATGAACTACAACCCAGAGGTCAAGCGACAACCCCCCGCCCGTAGGTCGCCTACATTGACTCGGTGGACAGGACAGCTGTCTGGGAGGCTCTCTGAGGAGGTGACATTACGGAACCACCAACGCGCCTGACAGCCGACCTGTACGATACTCGTCCTGGTAGCCGATACAGCCACCAGCGGTGAGGTTCAGGCAAGAGTTGTCCATGCCGTTTCACACCGGGTCCGGGAGTTTGACAGCGATGCGTGTTAGCGCCATCGTTATTCTGCCTGGCTATCGACCGGTCGATGGCTGGAGTTGTAGTGCACCGTGGACTGTCTGTTGGCGTCGTGTACGATTTACTGACTGGGATCAAGTGGCCGATGTCCGCACCGCTCATCGGCCCCCTGGTAGTGCACCTCCATCCTAACGAAGTTGCGCTCGGTCTGTCGCCCAGGGACCTGGGCACAAAAGCCTCACTCCGTCGCTCAGAGACGCCGCTCGCGTCCTGCACCGCACACGCTTCGAGGCGCAATCTTTGGCCTCTGACTTCATCGCAAACGTCATCGTGGCCTCAAGGAGCACAAACCATCGCGTGAACTACGGTTATCTTCACAGCAGCAGCGGCTTATGGCTGCTGGCCATCAAACAAAGGCGGTGGTCACCGCATCGCGCGCTTTCAGATGCGCTTCTGCGGCCTTCTGGAACGCTCTTCCTTCCTATATTAGGAAACCACTGGAGATATTCACTTTAAAATAATCTAGATTGACAACTCACTTCTTTAGAACTGCTTTTTGTGTTTAGTTTGGTGGCCTCCCCCCCACACTTCCGATTAGCACGGTTGGCTACGTACGGTGCGAAAGAAGTTCAACATACACACGCATACATACGTGACATCCAGCCCTGGCCTCCCCAATGTAGCGGACCTCACCCTATTGGGGCACGCAGCTCAGCCTCAACCTGAAGTTACGGCTTACCTTGCCCTGCAGTTGAGTGTTGAAAATAGACCTCACCGATGGCTCAGCGACCACTTTTCAAAGCAGCACGTTGTCAAATGTGATCTTAATTTTTTTGTGTTTGTATATCAAGCCCCTACTACCATATCTCTGCTCTTAAGGAGGGCCATTTCCCGACTGGTTCGCACCCAATTTATTATCTGTTTAGAGGGAGAGTAAATGGTGGTGTCTCTTTTCTAGGTGTTTTGATGAGGTGAAGGTGTAGCCTTGCAGTTCCTGCTCATGCCACCATTGGCAGAGGGCCCCCCAGCAAGTGGAGCTGTCGAGAACCCCCCTCTCGGGAAATTACGGACTCCCAGAAGGCCGTGCGGTTGACGCGTTGTGTGACAACTACTTTTATGTTCTACGTGGAAGGCAGATATGTGCAGGAGACATTTTCCGTTATTTGATTATACCACGATGACGCTGATTACTCTTGTTTATACAGGCGTTTCACCCATAATGCTGCACAGCAACAAGTAACGAACGTGTCAATCACGTGGAGAGAACGGTCCCCCCCGTCGTAGAAATGTGACATTTCCACTGATGGCTCAGGACTCCAAAGCTCATTTGAGCAGGGAGACTCTTTGTCTTGGACGACACTGACAATACAATCTAAACCCATGCCACGTGCTGCCCTGTGACGCCGTTGTCTTGCAGGAGACGTCCGTGCGCTTGGGTGTGGTGCCTCCTGGCTCTGCTGCTCGCTCTCAGGCTCAGCCTGGAAGGTGAGTGTCGAGAAGAGAGGTCACGGTATTGAGCTGGCATTTATATATCTCGGTTCGACTGTCATCCACAATCACTTCTCTCCGTGTGTATGTTGAACTTCTTTCGCGCCGTACGTAGCCAACCGTGCTAAACGGAGGTAGCAGGGGATATTGGGGAAGTTCGGCATCCGAGTGTGGATAAAAAGGTCACTTCACTTTGGAGGGATTTCAGAAGCAGTTTGGTGATAATCTCCTTCTGTGGACCGTTCTCTCACGTCGAGTAATGCACTGCTCTGAAAGAATATTGAGTGGATTATTTTTTCTCATGATACGACAGTGGCAGCACAATTGGGACAGCATTGGGAGGAAAGAGAGACGAAAAGAACCCAAACAAAGTAGATACTAAAGGGTATCATACTTTTCACGGTAATGTATTCAAATTACATCACTTTGGAAAATAACGAACAAAAAACCCCAAGTAAATATGAACTCATATATGTTGCTGTGCATTATCACCAGTTTGAACCTTTGTTAAATTGAAAAAAATATCAAAGCATACAGTCAGGCATATTATTATAGCCCCATGATGTGATGTCACCGTGGTATCATTGCACTAAATGGATGCATGAGGTGAATATTCTAAATCCCGCTCTCTGGCTAAAGATGGACCTTTACATGACATGCATCATACATACATCAGGCCTGAATACATGGCACATGGCACGCATCATACCTCAGCAAGGCCGTAATTATAATATAGATTGGGTGTGACACATCCCCCCCAATATTCAAATATGCTCAAAATGTCCCCCCCCCCCCAATATATAGCTATAAAATAGATTTCTGTTTATATGATTGTGGTTATGGTTGTACTTTATTAATCCATAATCTCTGCCATTACATACAATGAAATAAGAAAAGGAAAAAAACAAAAAAACAGAGCAATGTAATACAATACACTATTAGACATTACTGTAAAAATAAATAAAAAGTCCATCCTATGTGTTAGTGAATTTTTAAATATTTTAGGCAGGAAATTAGTTTTCAAATTTAGATTTATTTATTTTCTGGGGGGGACCCCAGACCCCCTGGAAGATTTGGTCCCCCCCAGTGTTGACTCCATGGCTACGGCCTTGTACCTCAGGCCTGAATACATGGCACATGGCATCCATCATACCCCAGGCCTGAATACATGGCGCATGGTATGCATCCATCATACCTTAGGCCTGAATACAAGGCCAATTCCTGCAGGAACACCACATACCAGACATAACATCTCAACAACAGGGAATGGGATTGTCTGGACATTGTATGTATGGCAGTGTTTTCAGATTTTAAACTACTGCACTGTACATATTTCAGTAATCTCAAAGTACAATTTCTCTTATTTCAAATTAATTGTAATTAGTCCATCAATTCATTACAATTTTAAAGGTTCAATATTCACTTCATACGTGAATGTTACACCATTGATTGGGTTAATTTCCTAAGATTCCAGCCCCCAGTCTTTGGAATTTCACAATGCAAGGAGGTGGTGGAGTGGTTTTGGAGTCGTTAGCGTTGTGTCTGATGAACACCGCAACCTGAGTTCAATTCCCGGCCATGGCTAAAATCAGCAGAGAACAATATTTGAGCGAGTCCTGGATGCTCTTCTTTCACCTACCATCGATCATTGTGAGTGAAGTATGGTCAACCCCCAGCCCCCCCTCGGCCAACATGGAATGGGAAGATCCTCATCCAGCAGTGGATTGACACAGTCGAGCTCTACATTGTATATACAATAGCACAAGTAAAATGGCGCAATACAAAACAAACAATAGCTTGCAAAGTGTGTCAGTATGAGTGGAGTTTGTGTGTGTTTTGGTATATCCCAAAGACCACTGCACGACAAGAGTGACACACTGGCAAAGCAACGCGATCCAAGCTCGCGAGCTTCCGTAAATAAACACACACACAGTGTGTTTACACAATCCAAGCACCATCTGGGGAAATACCATCAACTCCAACTCCGTCATCCTGTGAGAGTCATCTAGTCGACAGCTTAAAGCTCAGAAGTTTGCTCATTTTTTCCCCCCTCTGGAGTTTACGGCTGCTTTTCAGTACTGGGGGTCCAGAGACCGCGGTGAAATTGTTAAATGTGTAATGAGACGAAAGTCTAGCCGTAGTATCTGGACTGCACGGTCACAATTGGGAACATCCTGGTATAGGACGAATGGGTTAAATCTAAGCATGCTTACTTAACAGCCCGTTGCTAATCCACTCCCGGATGAAGACTTCCCCAGGTCTGTGTCTGTCATGGGGGTCGCGTGACCGTACCTCGCGATGCTGGTCATTGCAAGTTGGTGCAGGGGAAGGACCCAGGACCGGTTCAGATGGCATTCATCGCTGATGTTAGCCACGACCAGGAATCAACATCGGGTCATGGGGCTCGCCATGACCCGTGTGGTCGGAGTTATATCTGACCACGTGACGCCGTGCTTGGAGTGCACGCTTCTCAGTCAGAAGGTTGGGAGTTCCAATCCCGGTTGAGGACAGACGCAACTGATTGTACGATTTTGTGGGTATTTGACACGTGGTTGTCCTACATTGTGCTACTGGCTGCCACCATGGGAATGTGGAATTTCAGCCAGTGTTCAGGGCTATCCTACAACTATTAATATGTTTAGTATTTTAACAGGTAAGACCCACTGAGCTACATGCAGGATATCTTTGTCTAGAAACGACCTGGCCACAAATGATAGCTCAACGAAGTGGCTTATCGTGTGGAAATGTATAGCAGCCAAATGCTCTAAATGCCCGTTTCTAAATGTGGAGGGAAAATCAGTGGACCCAGGGAAAAATCCACGCAACCACGGGGAGAACATGCAAACTGCAAATATAAGACAGGCGTCAGGGTTGGGATCGAACCGACATCTCGCCACCGTGGTGGCCACTACACAGAGATAAACATCACCTCGTCCTCATTTGAATAGAAGAACATATTTAAGCTCTTTTGTATTCCTGCACAAGCGTGGATTTTATCTGAGTGCTCCAGTTTTCCTCCTCCACCCACGCACACACAAAGTATTTCCAGTAAGGAATTGGCCAAACATCATAAAGTAGGAACCTCCTAAAAAGAAGAGCATTCTTGACTCGCTGAGGCTTTTCCTGGTTTTACAAAGAATTACATTTTAACTTTTCCTCATTTATCATGCGCTACTAGCTCGTTCTGGCTGTGCCCTTGTCTTAAAAGCATTGGACTGGACCCGGTCACCTGGCTACACTCAAGTAAACAGCACCATGTGCTGTGCATTAATACTCTTAACTTGTTTTCAGAGCTTCAGAATACTGTGCCTAGCCCTCCCTGTGCGCGTGTCTTTCTTTACCTTTGAAACGCATTGTTTCCATGAGGAGCATTGGGAGTGGTGGCATAGTAAGTTAGTGCACACACTGCGCTATGAACCCGGTGACCTGAATTAAATTTCCGACCATGGCCAACATCAGTGATACATATTAGAACCAGTCCAGGACCGTCATGAGGTCATCTCAGCCTCAAGTGAGTAGCCTGGCTTGGCGTGTAAACTTCGACATAGGGGACACTCAGACAACCGGACGTGGATCTGTCTACACCACCGCCTCCTGTGTAATTTCAGGCGAATAGTTTTCTCTCTATCTAGCCTGGATATAGGCTATCTCTTGTATGTGCTTGTGTCCGTGTGTGTGGGAGTGTATAGAGTTGTGTATGTGTTTATTGGCATCTGTGTGTTTGTGTGCACCTGTGTGTGCATATCAATGTGCATGTTTATGTTGAGCTGGCCTTAATAGGCGCTCTTCCAGGGGATCCTTTGTTTTTATGTGCCCATTGTGTTTTTGTGTATGCGTGTGCTTGTGTGTGTGTGTTATGGCCCCTCGGGATAGAGTCATCTTGTTGGGTGACTTCAATGCCCGAGTTGCTCATGATGCTGGTACCTGGTCTGGAGTGATTGGAAGGCATGGGCCAGATCAGCTCAATAACAACGGCAGGAGGCTGCTAGATTTTTGTGCAGCCCATGGGCTTGTAATTACCAACACACTGTTCTGGCATTGGCGCATCCACACATCATGGATGCATGCCGGTGTAACAGGCCGTAGTATACCCACAGGCCGTAGTATACTCGGGATTTAAACGGCCTAGGCTAGATTATACCTGGGTATATTATGGCCTAGGCCAAATTATGCCCCTCTAGGCCAAATCATACCCCATGATAGTAATAGTGTTGAGCGATATACACATGAATTCGCTGTGGCCATGATCTCGGCATCTATTACCCAGACTCTATCACGAGAGATGCCAAAGGTGTTTACATATTCATTGACATCTTGGTCCAAGTAGTCCTGTAGTTCTTAGTTCCTAACCCTAACCCTATTCTGTGACTTCCGACAACGCTTCAATGGAACTGCACGCGTATTCGACTTCGCTGGCTTCGACTGCTTCTAAAATGCTTCAATTGATCAAATTGAGATTCTTACTTCCATTTATACGCTTTTTAGATATCGATTGAAGTTCGTTGTCGGCTGTTCTCTGTGTGGATAATTGCCTTTGAACTTTCACATGGGGCATATTCTGGCCTGGAGGGGTATGGTCTGGCCCAGTCGAGTTTAAACCCCCGAGTATAGTTTAGCTGAGGACACTTTATCCCCCCGGGTATACTCTGGCCTGGGCCAAACTATACCCGGGTTTAATCGGGGCAGGGGTTATTTTAGCTTGTTACACCGGGTCTAAGCAAGAACATCTGCTGGACTACATAGTGACGGAACAGCGGATGCGGGCCCATGTCTTTGACACCAAGACGTACCGTGGAGCTGATTTGCTCACTGACCATCGACTTGTCATCTGTAAGATGCGCCTGCCATTCTTCCACTCCGTTGGTGGGTGTACACCCAGGACCCTATTCAAACCCATAGTGGCATGGTCTCAGCTCGCTGATGAAAGTTGCAAGCGAGAATTTAATCATCGCTTGCGGCTGTTAGAAACATTTAGGCTGGCTTGCCTGCGATCCATC